AAAAATTTCTTTTATGCTATAAATTGATCAAAATTGAAAATTAAATCTCCAGTCTTTTAAAAATCTTTTTTTTTTTAAAAAAAATTAAAAACCTCTCAATTTGAAATTATACTCGTAGTTTGATCATTTTCACCTTTTACTTCTAGCAAGCTTACTTTAGCACTAACCTTTCGACAACCAAAATCTCAATCAAAACAGTGCTCTCGGATGCACGACCGCTTCTTGTAAATGCAAAAAATATAAAAGACGACGATTTCGTTGAGAATATTTGCACCATATTTCTCGACAATATGCAAATTTTCGCGGAACCTTGCTGCATATTCTTTTATGAGAAAAATCAATGAAAATCCACCATGAATCCCTACAGAACTTCATATCAGTATTCATACCAAAAATATTTTCATTGTTCATCTGTTTGTGTTACTCATATTACAAATATTTCCAATTTTAATTATTTATTTCCCCTCCGAATGTGGAGTGAAACAAGAAGCAATCGAACTGTTTCGAAGGGAAAGAGTGAAACAAGAGAGAAAAAATTTCAGTTTGGCGACAATGGATATCATAATTTTTTAACCATGCTGAATATTGTGTCAAGTTTGGTAAATGTTTAGTATATTAACGATATTCGACATATAAATTCGAGTTTATTATTTCATGAACAATTTTCGAAACAGAGCGTATTCAAAAACAAAATATTAAGAAAAAAATATCATTTTCAAGAACAATGATAACAAAAAACTTCGTTTTTTCTTTTTTTGAAAGTTTAGAGATTTAAAACTAAATATCTCTAATTTCAATCAACTGATATTTTCAAAGCTTTTTGCAATAGTTCCAGCAATATTTGTAGCATAATAAACTTGCTGACTGAAGTTGCAAAGAAAGGAAATCTCATCAACAAATCAAACTTTCTTTTATATACTAGATATGATAGTAAAATGTAAAAGAAAACGTGATTTACTGCTTCAAGAATTCATCAAATTTTTACAAAAAAAATCGCAGTTTTTTAAATTTCATATAACATACCAATGCTTGAACATCACATTGAAAACACCTCAGTAAGTAAAACATTAAAATAAAACAGACCATAGCCCTAATAAAAAAAGATGAATTAAGATCAAAGTCCGAAGATTTAAATAATTCCACAAATAGTAACGAATAGATCTTTCAATTTCAGTATATTTCAAATATCACAAGAATTTTCCAAATCATGTTGTGTGAATCACATTCCGATGTCTGGAATGGAATATGTAACATATAAAATGAATACACGAAAATTAGATCCAAACATATTTCCTTTCCCACTCAAGCGTATTTTCACAAACTAGAACTCGCATTGTTTTGGGAAATAAAAGAAATGCTTTGGAGTTTGGATAGTTTTCAGCCCCAATTCAGTCAACATGACTTTCCACTACGTTGTATAGTAAGTCAAATAAAATGAACATATATGCCAGAAAACAATTAAATGATCAGAACCTTTTTGTACAGCGCATGGAAAATGATAATACTTGCCGCGATTTTCAATTGCTGCACCTTCTTTGGAGCATACTGCGCAATGCTGTAAAAATTTTATTATTTTATTACCCTCATAAAAGGAAAGGAAAAGAAACATAAACGGATATAAGGTAGAAGGTAATATAGTTTATCCTCTTTCATTTAATTCTTTAAATCAGAAATCTTAAATAGAGTTAATCTAAACTAAATCCAAAAAAAAAACAAATAATATCCATGATCGTAAAAGCATACAATTTATATTTAATTGACGTCATTTCTCTTACCCTGAATTTATCAGAGAATTTTCTCTTTCAAACAACGGACAAATTCCAAACCTGCGTCCAAAAAACACTAATTTTCGATTCCAATCCGTCAAGTTGATTGCCGACCAGATATATACCAGGTGCTGTTATAGCACAAGGACCATGAAGCCAAATGTCGCAGTATAATTCAGTCTAAAAAAAGAAAGCTTACAAATTATGCAAATTAAAACTGAAAATAACTAAGATAACTGTTGATTACGGCAGATTTTCTCTCTACTTAGACAGTGCTACAGCTCAGTGTTTGTCTTTTTTTTCAATCGCTCAGTGTTTGTTTTACCAAAACAAACAAGTAAAAAGTTAAAAATGGCCTAGTACCTTAATATAAATCATTCATCAAATTGTAGATAACAGAATATACTGATAAGACAAAATAGTGAAAAAATAACAACTAATAAAAGCTAATAAATGTAAAAGGAATGAAGCATTTGAACATCCTTTGTCAACTCATTTCCATACGTTTTATAGAAATTCGAATCTCGCAGCAGAAACCAACTTGCTCATTTATTTTTTGTGGTTTCTTCGCCAAATGTGTAGGCCAGTGATTTCCATTTAGTCGTATAAAGTACGGACCAAATAGGTCACCCAAAATAGAACGTAAAGTACGTTGCTGACACAGGGCGCACTTCCATCGAGTTATTATCTTCATTTCATTACATTCAACCTTGCAAAGTATAATACAAAAAATAAAACAGAAAACAAGATAGAGTAGAAGTGAAACCAAAATGAAAGTCAAAAATAAAGTCTAACCAGCAAATGGATTAAAATAAATAGCTGAATTGGCATCATAAAATTTTATCCAATAATTCTGATGCCCAAACAATATTAACCAAATATTAAAATTTAAAAAAATATATATTAAACAATATTAACCAGGAAGTAACATTCCTGAAGTCTGATATTCATGACATAATTGATAAACGCATACTTACTTGATTTAAACGATTCAACAATGCTTCTTGACTCCTCTTCAATAAAACATCGTGTTTCTCACCGTTTTTCACTATCATTTGTTCTATAAAAAAATAGGCTTTTAGTTAATTAAAAAATTAGTTCGGTATCTTGCACATGTTCAAATTCTGTAAACATCTTTTAAAATAATTACCCACAGAAATTTCTCGAAATAAGCACGATAAAACAACATAATAACCGTCGTCAACTCAACAAAATAAAAGGAAAACATCTGTAAAATTAAATAGATTTTTAAAATATAATCAGTAAACCATTCTATCATTTAATATCTAACGTAGAGCAATCTTTAGACGAGCACCAGAGAAGCTGAGACGAACGTTACTTCCCTATCGTAGATTAAATATCAATTGCTCGGTAAGACTAATCGGCTTGACAATAAATAATCTAAGACAAATGATTCCAACATAATTATCTAGAAAATATAATTCAATTTGATAATATTTTTAATATCACAGAGAAAATCATAGCCATTTTAACTAAAGATCATCGACAGCCTAAACCAACGAATCAATTAAACTAAATCATTTAACATATAATTTATCAGACTAAATTCTTATCAGTGTTTGGAAAAGAATGAATCGTAGAAATACTCACTTTTACTTAGCCTTAAACATGGCATATCATCATCATTTGATCGTTGTGTTCTCATTTTAAATTTCGCATTTAATCGCTTTCTGACAAGTTCATCTTCGCTAGTTTCTTTCATATTATAAATTTTCTTTCGCTTCATTTTCCTTCTCTTCTTAACTTTATTCTCATCTGCTACTTTAGTTGGCATCTTTGTCGTCTGTAACAAAAAATGTGAAGCTCCGTCTAGCGAAATCCACAATACTTGTTAATTATGTTTATGGTCATACTGCATCTGATAAAGTTGGATAAAGCATTTTATGGCAATATAACAAAAGTTCAACAAGCATTAGGTAAAATTTGGGCAATACATGATTAAAAATCATTAAATATTCACGTGATTCCACGATAAATGCGGATTTGACAAGCAATTATCTGAAATTCACGGTGAGTATCGTTTATACTGAAACTGTAGTGAAAGCGACTAACATTCAGGAAAACACTTTACTATTTCTGATATTTCTGGTTGTTTCTTCTTCCAACAAATTCGGTTTAAAAATTGTTGATATTTATAAAGGAATTGAATATTCAGATAAAAATCAATAATGCCAAATATGACTAATAAAGTACAGCAAACAAAAGAAAATATGAATAACTTTTACTTTAAAATTAATGCCATGAATTGCACACATCCACAAAGTACAGTTCTCAGATGTAAACATGAATTATGGATCAAAACGTATTAACATTTTGCAACGAATACAAATTATTCGAGCGAACATTTGGTAAAAAAAAAACAATTAAATAGTTCATAATATTCTCATCTCATAAATAAATATTCTCATAAATAAAAGACTTAACAAAGGACACCATTTGTACTAGATTTTGACTGTTTAGGACTTACTTTTCATTAATTAAAATATATTAACAGAATTATATTCAAATGAATTGGATCAAACTATGTTATAAGGATTTAAAAATAAAGAATTAGGTGATACTATTTATAACGTTGCTAAACGGCATTGAAATAAATAGCTAGTAAGAGTGGTAATGAAAAATTAAGTAACAACGATTTCCTTGAGTTAAAAACAGATTTTGTTTACAACATACCTAATAAACGAAATCAATTAAATTGCTATTTTGACTCAGAAAATTCGAAAGATCAAACAATTGCTTTTATTCACAGGTGCAGTCCAATTCATCAATGCTTTCAATACTGAAATGGGATGAATTTTCACCATCCGCTGTCATTTTTCGCACAACCTAAAAGAACCAAGTTAAATAAGATATGAAAAATGAATCTGTAACATTTATTTGCGCAAAAGTGGTGACTGTAAGCAAAAAAAAGTAAGGGACAGAGAACTGCTTCCATATTTTCATATCTTAAAAGACATTATAACTTATTCAAGCGTTCTACAATGAGTCACAACAGAGTAAACGAAAGATTTAGAGATTTTTTATTTCAATATGTTGCAAATAAATAATTACTATTATGTGAAGTTTTTTACAAAAAAAAAGAACCTGTTTTTAGTGGAAGAATTCTTCTGAAAACATTAAAAATACTTTCGATTTCCGCCAAATTAGCTATTTCAAACTGTCAAAATATGTTATGGAACGTCCTGCGAACATGACATGGAAGAAAGTTTCTCGAAGAATAAATCACATAAGTGGAAACAAACCTCTCGCAGCCTAAGGCAAGTATCTGCTATGTTAGCTATATCTTCAGAACTCAATTTTTCAATTATGCGAATGATGGTTTCATCTAAAAGTGACAACAAGCCTCTGGATTCGTTTTGTATGATATTGCGTCCATTTAAGTCGTCTTGAAATGCTGACATCTGTAATGAAATGAAAATAAATTATTCACAACAAAAAGTAATGCTTATCTAATATGGATCTTCAGAATTCTAAAAATTTATAAAATAAACTTATATTTTACAGACTTCTGTGTAATTTGTTCCAATAAATATTTGAACTGAAATTCCCGGATTCAACACTTAAAAAAGTAATCTGCATTATACATAAATGTGCTATAAGATTTAGAGAATTCGTTAGATGAAAAAAAAGAAATCCCTATCATTTTGGTATACTTTCGCAAATCAAGCTTGAACGGCTAGCAAAAAAAAAAAAAAAACTTGAGCGGCTAGCAAAACTGACCTTTGTAAATTACACCTTCGTTGTTAAACAGTCTTGCAGCACTTCACGGGACATCAAAATTCGATGTTGACACTTTCTTTGTCGACTTAATATCGGCACCACTGAAATAAAATCGATTTTTCTTAGAGTTTCTGGAAAACACTCCTATGAATTACATTTAACAAGTTGCATTCAGTTTATCAAGATTCAAGATTCTGATTTCATATCTGCTTAGATCCAGTGCTTCAAGTGTCATTTCTTGATGTAAAATAAAAGTTTTACAGAAACGACTATTTATTTCCCAATCTTACTATGAGCAGACTAAGTGATTTCAAGACATGGCTATATTTAGAACATATTTAGAAGATTAACAGATATTCTTGAACCTGTTCCTCTGATATTCCATTCTGGATGTCGCATATTTACTAGATCGTGAAAGAAAAGGAATAATGGAATAGATTCTTTATTGAGCACTGTCGGATCGGGTAAATGATCCAAAAATTGAAGCGTAACCGTATAAAAACGCAAAGCATCAACGAACGCCATACCACTATTTCAAGAAAAATTGTTGCAGAAACTAATTTTGCAGAACCAAAACGTTCGTTGTTAAAAAAAAATGAAAGGTGCCGTTGATTTTCCGTGACTGTCATTAAAGTTGATAAAAAATTTTCCTGCTTAGTTCCTTCACTTGATCAAAAGAAGAGTTTAATGCGAAATATGAGCTAAGTATCAATTAATCCCACAATCATTTTGTGATGATATTAAACCGAAAAAAGTAACATTGTTTAATAATACGTGATGAAGTTGTTAAATGATGCTACATCTTAATTGATTATTAGTATTTATTCTCTCGCCGAATCCATAACCACCGACTATTGAGAAAATTCAATTTGAAAAAATACTAATTTGTATTACGAGCATCCGAAAAGGGAAAAAGAAGTTGCAGCACAGCGAGAACTACATAATACTAACGATAAAAAACGTTTGTCTGTTCTATAATTTCAAAACTTCTTTACTTCATAAGTGGGAAACGAACCTACTGTTCAACAAATTCAAAATTTTCTCAATTTCAAGATCACATATTATTTGCGTATTTCTTTTGCAGTTCGAAAAATTGTCCATATCTAATGCCAATTTCTTAATTCATGCAATAATCTAATGAGAATTTCTTAATTCATTTCAATAATAATATACATCTTTTGCAAAACTAAAACTACTATATTAATTTTATAAATTAATCAAGAAAATATATTACTCGAAAATTCTTGCAGTCATTATTTCACATAGTTTTGTTACAAAATCGCCAAACTAAACTCTCATATCTAATCTAACAGGTTAAAATCATCCAGTCTGAAATCCATCTGAACCACACGACTTCATTATTTCATACCTCGTTTCATGCAACATACTCCGAAATCGAATAAAATAAAGAAAACTTTTACAGCAACCGATCAATCGATGCACAACAATTGCACCGCAGTTCCACGATCAGGCAGTCTGGAAAGCAATAAATCGCGGGAGAGATTTGTCGCGAGAGCTCGGTCTCAGTGAGTTATACGTGTGATCACACTGATTGTGGTCATAATGCAATTGATAAGTGTATGTCGTTGATTAGCATTGTTAAGTTCGATTATGAGAATATTTTTTTTTTGTTTTTGTTTTAATTTCATAAATACTGCTACTGCTGTTACTTGATATAATAAAATTTATTGATAAAATTTTTCAAAAAAAAAATCAATCAATAATTCCATCAATACGTATATGAGGATAATAACATAAGGCACCACTCATATAAAAGACTAAAATAATGGAATAACAGGCGAATTATTAAGCATACACATAAAATAAATAAATTGAAGGGAAAAATGAAAGACCTGAAAAGACCCAGTATGGATCATTTACTAAATTTGGGCAGTTTCATTACTGAAACCTCAAAATAAAAACAAAGAAAAAACATAGGATGAACAACACAAAATTTATGCATTAAATTAGCATGAAAAGTAAGACAATAAATTGAAATAGATAGTAGTTTAAGAATAAAAATGCCTAAATTTTGAAAGTGAAAATTGTATAAAAGGCCTTTCAAGCACGTTGTTATGAAAATTTCTTAAGTTAAAAGAACTTTTTTCAAAAAGTTTGAAAGTTTTGAAAGCGATTTGTCAACATTTTCATCAATATGATTTTTTTTCAGAACATAAAATAAACTTGGCTTGAACTTTTTATGCTTAGTAAATGTATGAAATAAAATGGTTCTTATTGCAAAAAGTATCATTAGATAATCATATAATATTATCATTAAAAGTATTCGAATAAAGAGGAAGTAACGATTAATTGAAATGATAAAAAAAGACAAATCATTTTATCACAGAGGTACTGATATCAAAAGAGGATAACAAAGATTAAACGAGAATCATTTATAATCATTAACATCAACTTGAATATTGAAATTATATATTAATGCATTTTTTAATAAATTATATTATCTCTTCAATTTTTTAGTCATTAAATGTTTATCATCCGATAAGAATGGTATAATTATCATCCCACCAATAATATATGATTTGAAGTTATGCTAATTTCATCCTTTAATATTTTAAAAAACATGTAATTAAAACCAATGAGTTTCGTTCCTGTTTTTTTTTTCTGCTGCATTGCACTTCTTAAAATGCATCTGTCATGACAAACTAAATTTCATAAAATAGCAATAATAATAAGACTAGAATTAAATTTTGGGAGGAAAAAAAATATTCCACGTATCAATTTTATTAATTATTTGCTATAATTTTTTTTTCTTGTACAAATTTCGTTTTTAAAAAACTGAAAGAGAATAGCATAAAAGATTGAAATTTATTACTTTTTTTCGTCTATTGATAATTAATAATTGAAATACTAATATTTCTACTATTAATAAATATGCAATTTTTATAATCATATAGTGGTATTATTATTACTATTATTATCTGTACTCATTTCATTGAAGCAATTTTCATTTCCATTTGCTATCACAGCCTCAATTGTTTCATCGATTGCGTTTAGCCTTAGAATTTGACTGGCATTATCATTTGATGATGTTTTAACCATTTTTGCTAATGATCCCTCTGGTATAACTTCTATTGCGGTATTACCATCAGCTAAGGTGAGTACTTCTTCGCTAAAAATATTATTCTATTATAGAGATTATCAAAAAAAAAATTATCAAAAAAAAAATTTATAATTTATGTAATCTAATGAATTGAAATTTGGAAATTTTAAGCCTAGAATTAAATTACCAATTTTGATAATTTAAGAAGCAAACCAATTATTGAAAGAAGAAACAATCCGAAAAGTTGAAGGTGTTGCATCCGCTGTTGTTATCTCTGATATCTTTTTCATAGCATTACAATTGATGGTGGAAGAACCAGGACCATTACCGATGTCTATTTGTGCTAATTTTGGTGTAACTCTGAGGTACTGAAAGTTAAAAAATTCAAATTGAAAATTTTTCGTTCATTTTATTTTCCACAACAGATTAAAACTTTTAAAATTACATTAAAAAAGTCGGAGACAATAACGATGTATCATGGATAATCATTACAATTATCATACTAATACTTTTTTAATTAAAAAAAATTTTTTTCTAAATTTAGGCAATGTGAAATAAATGCAATAATATGTTATTGACATCAAAACAACTGCACTACCTGACAAAATTTTATTTTATGTTTTACTTAAATCAATCATTTATAAAGTTAATAGTTTAGCGCATGAAGCTTATAGTTTCACGTACGTATAGATAACATCAAAATAAAAATATTCATTGAAAATTTGTTCAAAACAAATATATAAATGACATTTTTTAAATAAAAAAGGGAAAAAATTTTTTTTTCGCTTATTTTAAGAAACCTGCAAATTTTTGGAGCGTTTGTTACGTGATAGATTTTCCAGACGTAAATTAATCGCTTCCTTATATTTCAACTTATCAATACAACCATCTTTGAGATCATCATCTTGTAAGCCATGACAGGTACTCAAATGTCGCTTCATATTGCCCTGTTAAAAACAAAAAAAAAAGAAAGAAGGAGTTATCAATGTTGGATTTCAGACAAAATTTATTTTTCTTTTTCATCACTCTCTCTATCAAATTATGGAAACAAAACTTCCAAAATGAATGCAAGGATTATAGAAATTTTAAAAAATTTTAAATTAAAAGTATTATAACAATTATCAATGAAGTGTTAAAAAAATTGCATACATGTTAAAAATTTTAGTGATACGTAAAAATTTTTAAAACATAAAAAATAAGCTTTAATTAAAATTTAAATGCTAATATAAATTTATAAGCTAAAATTTAAAAATTCGATTCAATATTTTTTATTTTCCTAGGTCTTCCTAGGCATATTTTGAAAGTTAGGATTGAAAAATGTGTGCCTATGCTTGAAATTAATTTGAAAATTAGTTTCCTTATGTACCATTACTATATATCCAGCCTGAAAAATGGAATGCCTAATATTTATTACAAATCAATTCACCAATTTACTTAGCATGAAATATTTCCTTATTTTTCAAAATTGTTTTTTATCAAAATTCTTTTTTTTTGAAAATTTTTCCAATTACTTTACCAAATTTCTATTAATGTTCCATATTTTATCATTTGTTTATGATTGAAAAATACCTTATAAATGGTAGCAAAATCACATAATGGACATCGAAATGGATCATCATTGCCACGATCTTTTTTCATATTACACGATTTTGTTTTAACTGTTGACTGATGATCCGCTAAAATGCCACTACAATTATCCATCCATGGAGTTTTTTCAGCTATCGATGTTTCTAACACATTTGGCTGATAATTATCCGAAAATGTCATCGTTTCATTACATCCAAGAAAAGTATCAGAAGTGAATTGTTTTAAGGTAGCATCTAAAAACAAAACGAAAAAAAAAAGATATTTTCTGTTTTCCCCTTTAGCATGCTTTTTTTATTTTTGAAAGAAAAAAAAAATTTTAATCAAATTTAGGAAATTTTTTCGTTAAAAGAAAAAATCGTCGAATTTCTTTTTTTCAAATGAATTATAATCAGACTTCCATAAAAAAATATTTTCCATTATTGTTCTCTCATTATGAATGTAAAAAAAAAATTTGTTATGAAATGCTTGATTAATGTAATTTTCTACAGAAATACCTTTTCTCCTCAATTTGCTACCGTTACGTGCTGATCTCACGCATTGATTTACGTGACGTCTAATATTACCCTATAAAATATTACGAAATTTATAAATAATAAAATTCATAATTGAATGGATTAAACAAAACACTTTTACGTTAATTTTTCTCACGCATTGTGGCTCAACCGCAATTTTCAATGCTCTATTACCAGGGAAAAAATTTTAACATGCCATAAAATGTTCTCTCTAACTTAAGATTAAAGTAATGCTGTATTATCCATGCTTTGGTAAGAAATTTCTTTATTTAGTGATTCTTTATTTAGTGATGTGTTGTAAAATGACAAAAAAGAAAACGAATAAATTCTCACTTTATAATGACTAATGAAGCGATCACAATACGGACAAACCGGATCGACACCATTCGAATTCGTTACATTTCCTGGTTTACATATTCGCATACTTTCGACAAAACCACCCATTTGGTCTAAATAATTCCCACCTGTAATTTGTCTAATAAAATCTCACACTTACTGATTTTAGAATTTAATAGCAATGGTACCACGATAAAGAAGTTAATTCAAAGGAATGTTTTTGGTAAGGAATAATCAGTTTGTTTCAATATTAATAGTTAATTTCAGATCGATAATTATTCAACGGGGGAATTTAAATTAAAATCCGGATAATTTTTCCCCCTAATTAACTGCAATTATTTTATTTAATTATCTTCAATTAAGGAAATGCATGAATTCCTTGTCATTCAATAATTACTGCAAAATTATTCAATATCTTACGAGGAAAGGCTTTTATTAAAAGGAATGGAAAGAAGAAAGGAAAAAAAAAGTTCTTGAATTTTGAATAAAGCAGGAACAAGTCCTGCAACTTCCAGTATTATCAATATTTCATAAAGACATCGAAACTATTTCACAATTTTTGGAATACTCAATGCCAGTGGAAGATAATAATAAAATACATTACTATTAAAACGCAAACAGAAAAAAATAAAATAAAAACTAAAGACAAGAATAAAATTTCAAAATGATGCTAAATATTATCTGCAACATACAAAAAATATAAAAATCAAATAATGAAAAATTTAGGAAAAAGAGAAAACGATGGAAAAAATGCATAATTTAAAAATTAATAGTTTGAAAATGCTAAAAAAATTTGCCCATTGTCTGACAAATTAATTAGCTAATTAGTAATGATTTAATAATATTATCCTTTTATCTTCGCATAATAATTTCATTATTTTTCGTTTTTTAATCAAATTACACATTTACACACCGATAATTTCTCGACATTTTTCATTACGTCCGATATGCCCCGTAAGTGATTTACGTGATGAGTAAACACTGCGACATGCCGTACAGGTTATCTGGTTCCTTTCACATTTGTTGACTGTCTCACCAAAACCTGTCAAAAATTTCCATTCCTTCTTGGCCACTTTTTTTCCGCTTTTTCCCTTCCTGGCTATTTCAATAGGTAATTCTTATTGAGGAAAATTTAATTTAATAAATATTCACATTTTATGTTTGTGGTTTTTATAAAATTTAATAGCATTAATGTAATGATATGATACGTTAAAATCTCTTAGTGAAAATTCTTTTCTATACGTAAATATTTTAAGTTATGATATGATTATAATAGAACAAAAAATTATTTTCTTCTTAAGTTAAAAAAATATAAGTAATGTCCTCAATGAATATGTATGTACATGTTACAGTTAAGGTGTAAAAAATATTACAAAATTTGATGGAACCAACGTGAAATATCAAATGACGAACTTAAATATAATCACAATGAATGTAAATCAAATGCATTTCTAGAAGAATCTTTGATTAGAATTTAATAGAAAAATATCATTTAATTGTTCAGGAATAATAGGATAATCAAGTATGCATTTATAATGCGAAACTTATAACAGGAATTTTTAATTATTATATTTCTAAAGGACCTGTTCCAGAAATGAAAAAAATTAGCAATTAACCTGTTGATATCGGAGCATGAATCATTCTTTGCTTGGTGTCGGAAAATCGAGAATGTGTCATTTGGTTCGAATTTTCGGAACATTTTTCTTGTTGAACATAATTTATACTTCCAACATCATTATTATTTGGCAATATTACAACTTGTTGCAATTCTAATCGATTACCATTAATTAATCCCTGACAATTTGCCATGTAATTATTATCAGTTAAGTTTGTATTACGTGACTGATACCTGAAAAATACATGTCTACGAAACAAAGATATATATATATATATATATAGACATAAATTGTATAATCGCATGCATTCATTCCCCGAAATATTTTATTTTCTAACTGATAATGATTACCAACCTAACATTATTTGAGCAACCAGGAGCTGTTGTATGCACTGGATAACCAAAATTATGACTGTTTATGTTCATTGGTACCTAAAATGAAAAAAAAAGAGTTAGTTGTTAAAATTAAGTCAATCAATAGAAATTTTTTTTGTTGCCAAAAGTGTAGAAAATTAACATAATTAGTAGAAATTTTGATTGCTCAAATTGTTAACTCAATTAGTAAAAATTGAATTGCCAAAATTGCCGAAATTAAGTTAATTAACGAAAACTTAGCTGTAGAATTATTTTAATATTTATTTCTTTCATTAAAAACAAATAAATATTTTTTTTCATCGTCAAGTTTATCTATCTATAAATATATGCATTTGACAATGGAAAGATGTTTATTACGTGAAAGTATATGTCATGATTAGAAAATACGTGAAAATTAAACATGATTTAATAATTACTTCATTTGTAGTAAAATCATTTGTGCTGTTTGAAAATCGTGTTTGTTCATTCCAAACATTCCAAGAGAGGGTGCTATCTGCCGAAAGCATTGCATACGTTGATGAGAATAATTCTGTCGTATCTCAAAATCACTTATATACAAAGA